CAAGGTTTCAACGGGTGTCTTGAGACCAGAGAAACTTGCAACACAGACCCTCCCCTCAATCAACATGATAAGCCGCTGCATCCTCTTGCCTGACCAGCTAAGGAATGGCAAAATCACAAAACCCGTTACAATCGTCCTCGTGATGCAGACACTGCTCAAATCAAGTTCCTCAAGTCAAAAACCCCGAATCGTGTAAGAAATATGACAGCTGATTTTCCTGACCCTCATGACAGCCAAGAATGGCTTTCAAAGACCACACGCATTGAAACATTGGAAACCAAAAAAAACTATTACAAAAAAGGGAGCCCACTCCTCGGTGCCCTTGATGCTGTCGGGAGCCGACTCGCCGCCGGAGCCCTGGCAGCCCTGGAGGGAACCTCGCCAGTCATGCAGATTCCAAACAAATGTCTGATGCCCCGAGGGACTCAAACAAAAAGCGAAAGCGTACCGCAAATCCCTAAACCTGGGGTTTCGAGTTTCGGATGTAGGGTTCAGGGGTGGGGGTTGAGGGTTTAGGCGCCTTCTGGGGGCGCTCCGACGGGACATTCGGGAGCGTTTCTGTCGGCTCTCGTCCTTGAACTCCCAGGGCCCCGCTGATGACCGCTGATAAAACAAGGGGATCCCTGTGATGAACACCCCCAGCAGAAAATGAATACTGGAAGACCCTAAGCCTAAGCTTCAAAACCCTACAGAAAGTCATCTTAGGACTCTCAAAAGACGGCTCTCTGTCCTCTGTTACCCCTCCTCAAGCTGCTGAGGCAGAATTGTGACTAGGAGAGGAATCGTAACAGCTCTTTCGCAAGCCTTAATCGAAACACTGCGAACGGCGTTAGTGTTCACCCTCCCTCCCGTGCCACGGAATCGATATCTTTACTGGAATCCTGGACAGTGCCCCCTTTGCCGGTGTTGAAAGAAGAAGCTCTAAGGACTTTAGGAGGGACCCCTAATAGGGACCCTTAATCCCATTACCTTAAATAGCCATTGTATAGTCCTTATATACCCCTTATATAGCCAGGTAGTCTCAATATTAACCCCAATAACCTACAAGGGTCCCTATTAAGGGTCCCTCCTAAAGCTCTTAGAGAAGCGCTCTGAACCGCTACTCCGACCGGTAACTGTGCAAGATGGCAGCTCCTCCCACATAGCCCTGCTAACCCTGGTAACGGTTTAGGGTTTAGGATTTAGGGTTTAGGATTTAGGGTTTAGGGTTTAGGGTTCAGGATTTAGGATTTACGGTTTAGGGTTTAGGATTTACGGTTTAGGGTTTAGGATTTAGGCTTTAGGCTTTCGGGTTTTTGAATACTACAGTGCCACTGCTCTCTTCAAGCTGAAAGCGACCCGGCCACAGAGGGCCCAGGCAAAAAGCGCCAGAGCTCCGAGGATCCGCGAGCCCATCGTCATCGCCATGGCCACGCAAAGCGACGAAAGACCGCTGCCTGGCACCGTCTATGTAGAGAATGAGCCACTGCTACACGCTGCGGCACGACGGCACCTTTTTGGGGGATCCCTTTGGGTGAGGAGGGCAGGGATCACTTGCAGGGAAGTCTGGCCGCCCGCCTCTGAAGCAAAAGCTTTTTCACCATTCTTTCACCTGACACCTTTGGTGCCTCCGGCATTCTCAGTCGATGCACCTTAATTCTAGGCTGGCTGATAAAGCGCAGTGCTCTTGACGTGAGCACGGTAACTGTGCATTCTGCCCGAAAGTGGCTGAAGAGATAAAGTCAGGTAACAGCATCCTATGACACAACTTTTCCTGCGCTCCCTCTCATGACAGAAAGCTTTTCCTAAGTTCCAAAGAACTTGCTGAGGCTTTGTGCGGAGCTACGGGTTGCCACAACGTCTTGATAAGTTTGTTTCCTGGGTTTCCTTTGTCAATGTAGTCATACAGGCAGCAGCACTCCGTTGCCGAAATGATGCAGGACACCTGCTTGAAATGACTGGTTGAGACAAGGCTTGCGGAGGATTCTGCGTTGATGCAGCTCAAAGAGTAGAACTGCTGAAAAGCTCTGGGATCAACAACGTCAAGTACGTACAGCATAGCACAAACGATAGTTCTGCACAAGAAAGCCACATCATGTGATGCGATTAACGTAGGAGCCGTTCATCAGAATAAGGTTTTGGGCCCGTTATACTACAATTGTAACAAGGAGTCCCAAAATATAGTATAGGAGATTGTTTAGGCCCCTATGTTCTTCGAAGCCTGCTCAGCGGATCGTTTCGGAGGTGCGTGTTTAGATGCGGCAGCAGGGCCCAGTCATGTCCAAAGACTTCATGGAATTCCTACTAAAAATGGTTTAGGTTTAGGGTTTAGGGTTTAGGGTTTGGGGTTTAGGGTTTAGGGTTTAGGGTTAAGGGTGTAGGGTTTAGGGTAAAGCTCCATCATCAGAATCATAGTCCACATAATCATACTAGTACGACTCCAAATCAAGCACTCTTGGTACTTTTACTTATAATACTACTCGTACGATGAAGACAATAATATGCAATACTGGAAATGCTAGTAAAGGATAAAGAATCTGAGAATAGAAGAAGAAGCAGAAGAAGAATACTCCCTAAATCTGCTGGACCGAAATGGCAAACCCGGAACCCCAAAGGGGGCGACCCCGCTGCCTCTGCGCGCAAAGGAAAAGCAAGCGCCGGAAGGACAGAAACTCCCCTCCGCACGAAAAGCCTGAACAAGAGACTGAACGTTTCTTTTCGCCCGAAGAACTCTCCTTGTCTCCATGTTGCTCCCAGCTACACTGAGTTTACATTCAAGCCACGGTCACTTTGCGCATTCAATCGTGCAGATACTTGCAGTCTGCGATCCATCCACACGAGCAAGTATTCGGGAAATGCTCCTTAAGGTGTTAGGTGGGATTAAAGTTTGATTCCGGCAAGAAGGTCACGGGACGAGAACTCTGACAGCAGAAGCCGCACAGCAAAGAAACCTGCAAGCAAAGCCCCAGCGAAGCACAGAGAACCTTCACAACAACAACGAAGTGCTTAGCTAGGCCTGCTTCTTTGAAGCCGAGGGGAGTCGGGTTTGCTCACTTGCTTGTTTTGGGTTTAGGGTTTAGGGTTTAGGGTTTGGGGTTTGGGGTAACAGTGTGTGATTGTTCCAGTATCTCATCAACATCACCTGTGATTTTGGGGGAGCGGAACTCAGTTCATCTTAATCACTTCTGGAGACAGGGTGGGGCTCACCTGCAACCCCTCACACGGGGGTTCAAGCGGCATTGAACTGTCGGGACTTTTCAGAAAGGTCGCGAACCAAAGCTCGGGACAAGCTTTGAAAATCTAAAACAAGAATCATAAATGGATCCTTCTGTCCGCAAACTCTCAAAAGAGAATGCGACATTGGCTTCCATGCCCAACCATGGTGGTTCTTCCACTCCACCTTCGTTCTGTCGGGGAAAACCATCGGTGGAGGCTATTGTTCTCGTGTCTTCTTTCAAACCCTACACCCTCAACAGTGCTCCACGCTGACACTCATCCAACGTAGTGCCCTGAATAACCTTCATGTGCAGGGTTTAGGGTTCAAGGTTTAACTTTAAGGTTAGGGTAATTAGGAAAAATGCATAATATAATATACTATACCCTAAACCTTAAACCCTAA